AAGGTTAACCCTGCCTGCTTTAAATGTTTCTAAATGATTAACATTGAAAACATTAAGTAATTGAAATAGTTACACTACCAATTAACAGTTTTAAATAGGGTAACTTGTAATCTATAACATTTACAATGTAACCTTCCCAATACTGGTGCTTGTATCAATCCCTAGAGAACAAGATGACAGTACAAGACCAGTATATACACAATAAACCTGGCTGTTTTTATAAAAGGCTGTTTTTAGCTTTCGGGACTAACACTAGATGGAATGATTAATTCTGTTGATTAGCCAAGCAGGCAGAGTTATTGAATGATGCTGATCATCTCAAAATAGCCAAATATCATCTGATTATTTGGGCTGGCTGATGTACCGGCATATAAATAATGACAGACTAACAACTTAACCGTTTATGTTGAGGTGACGCCGTTCCTTACACCAGTTGCTGTTCCCAGTGCCAGAGAGCATGGTAACACTCACCTGAGGTCTCTGTAAAGACAGCGAGGGTCTGGCCGCCCACCGTCTGCATGGTGAAGGGATGTTCTCTCGGGGAGCGCACTGACGAAACCTTCTCCCCAGAGCACTGCACCACGGTCAGCTCCTCGTTCAGACTGAAAGACACCTGAGGAAACCATCAATCAGCCTCTACGTAAGCAATAGTACATCACACGCTCCCTCGCCACAGCCCAGGGTCAGATCATAGTAATTATGCAAATCAGCACTGACATCTTAATAAAAGATGAGGAGCAAATAGTGCAGGTCGTTAAAAACACGAATAAAACTTACCGCCGTCTTCCCTTGAGCTCTAGAAGAGAGATTAAAAAGTATGAGTGGAAAGATTTCATACAAAAATGTCAATTTCGAATGAGGTTTAAAATTAGATCATACTTCCCAATTTTAAGTTTGCCCACTTCTCCTCGCCCAGATGCTTTTGCCCACTGCTGAGAAAGATATTTGGGAACCTACGGAAAAGTGAATAAGACTACATTTAGTTATCGGTCCCTGTTGGTTTCCTAAAAAAAGTACACCGCTCATATTTGTCCGAGTATAACTGGATAATTTCATATTTCCATAATTCAACCG